GCGATCGACGTAGGCGGCCCAAGGCCGTCCGATCGACCGACCGACCGACCGACCGACCCAACCCAACCCAACCCAACCCTCCCCAACTCTACCCAACCCTACCCCAACCCTACCCAACCCTACCCAACTATACCCAACCAAACCCGACCCAACCCAACCCAACGTCGACTTACGACGAAGCGACAGCGACGCGATCGACGGCGGCGACACAACCCCAACCCAACCCCAACCCAACCCAACCGAACCCGACCCGACCCGACCCGACCAACCGACCGACCAACCGACCGACCCTACGACAAATGAAACAGACAGGTGAACGCAAACGAACTCACGTCTGCAGCGACCTGGGTGCAGACCTATTTTGCCATCACTATCTGTTGTACGTTCATACAACGTCGATCTATGTTCGGTCCAACGTTCCGACTTTGTGCAAGCTGTGCTGCTGCGCGTCGTGGGTGCTTGTTAGCTATGTACCACGGCGTCTGTTTGCCTGTGCCTCACGAAGGGTGAGCGCCAGGGAGGAGGTGACATAACGCAATATGAGCAGCCAAGAACAGAGCAGCAGAATAAAACAGCAGCAGCAGCACAGCGGCACAAATGTCTGGGAGTCGACGACAGCAGTAGAATCGAGAAAACCAACGAACAAGCGGCGGGTGTTGTTTTGAGTTGAAGAGAGGGCAAATGGGACCTACCGACAGACAGCTAACCTCGCACCATCATTCAGCCGCTCTTCGAGCCACAACAACGGCGTCCCACCTCTTAGATTGCTACATACTTGAATGGCCTACCCGCTTTACTAAGCGGCCAGACCTTTCTCGCGGGCGGGCTTGTTTTATTTTGTTCCTCCAGTGTGCAGCAAGCGCAACCATGGAGTACAGACGTGCGTTTTCGAAACTGCTGTAACGGATACCTGTGACCAAGCAAGGTGTTGTTCGCTGTTCTACAACCCGCTACTGCTGTGCTAGAAAGAAAATAATGTTACAGCTGCTTTAAAGAACATGAAAGACTCTCCAAAGTCGAACAGCCGCGTGGAAACAGAAGGGAAAATAACACCCGAACAGCCTCCACCGCTAACGACCAGCCAAGACAAAATGAATATTATAGCTGTTCTTACATAGTGACAGGCAATCATCATAACTAGTGATATATCCGGAACTCGGCGATTTGGGGAAGGTCCTTGAATACAGAACGCGCCCGCACTTTCGAACCCAGGAGTTAAGAAGTTGATACAGCCTCAAGAAAAAATTAGTAGTATATAGTAGTATCAAAATGTAAGAACTTGAGCACCATTTGTGAGCTCGGTTAAGAAACCCTACACTAAAACCTATATAACAACCCCTCGCAGCGTGACCCTAGGAATACGGTAGCAACCCCAGCCTTGGCCGAAACTAGTAAATACCAGAGGCTCTTAAGTGCTGGTAGTATTGTGTTGCAAGGAAGTAGGCACAAGATGCCGAACACCCTTAGCAGGATGCTGCGCATCCTTCATGCGACTCGCCGAATACCTCACGGCGCTTCGCGCTTGGTGACGTGAGAGCCTGGTCTGGTGAGAACCCGGCGCGCGCCGTCCCGGCGTTGGAGGGATGCGAGGTCAATGGTCTAACGACTTCGGCATGCACGGCTATGAGTACACCCCCCCTCCTAGCCTTACCCAGCGACCCCCTCCCACGTGGTGGAAGTTTTAATCCTCTCGTGCCGGTCTCGTAGTACTGTACTATCGTAGCATCGATCGCCAAGTTTGGAAAACTTCCGGTATAATACAACCACCGGGATAATGCGGCCAATCATGATTCGGAATTTGGGCTCGTCCCGCCGTATGTAGATATCTGTCCAACAAAAACATGGGGTATGGTGGACGAAAACGTTGGAGGTATGTCCGAGCCGTCGAACATCGCAGAACGCGCCACCTCTTAGTGTTGGGGAACCAACCGTCACGGTTTGTTTCCTCCGCAAGGAAACCAAGAGAGAATGCATGCATGCATAGGTTCTGGTGCGGAACGGAGTCCAAGAACGGAAACCTTCCAGCCGCTCTGTATTTTTCTTTCTCTTTTTTTCTTCCAGAACAGACAACGAGTCTATCTCTATCATTTGCATCTCAACAGATAAGAGCCCCGATTTTTTTTTGTTGGCAAATGAATTATCATTGTGTTGCATGGCCTGAACGTGGTTCCGCTGCTGTTATCCGAGCAGCATACAGAAATGATACATGGTGGCATCTCCCCTGCGGGTACACAGACAAAATTTCTCCTTTTGTTTATACCCCCCGTGGGTTGATGACATTGCTCCTTTTCTCATCTCCCCTGCGGGAAAAACTTGTCCCTTGCCTTTTTTTCCAAAGGTGTGTCGATTTCAGCAGCTCTCGGCGGACACCATGAGCCCCCCCGGCAGGGCCAAAGGTGGAGGCGGCGCCAGCGACGGCGGCGGTGGCAGCAGCAAGAGGCCGGCAGAAACACCGCCGAGCCCGGCCCTCAGCGCTACCTCGTCATCGGGGCGTGTGTCTCCCATCAAGCGGAAGAGGAAGCCATCGATCACGGGTGAGAGTCAGAGAAGCTGTTTTGGGTGTGCCCGTTTTCGTGGATGATTGTCGCGCACGGTTAAACGGTTAGTTAGGGTCCGGAAACAGCAGCATCACGTTGTTGAGAAATTGTCGGTTATGACATCTACGCCTCTTGTCCTTCGCGCATGAGCTCATCGGCTGCCCCGTTGTCGAGAGAATTTTTTTTTCAGTTAAGATACCGTATATGACACAAGGAAACACACCCCCTGGACCGATTTCCAAAGCTCGAGTACTCCACGACGAAGAGGATACATAAACGAAATGATGCATTTTCGAAAAGCTCTCGACGAGACGCTTCCAACGCCACCGTTTTCGGCCCTGTGACTCTTCATGCTGTTGAGAAAATCGAGCTTTGATAACCGGTCAAGGGGGGTGTTATCTTGTGTCATACACGGTATCTACGCCTCTTATCCGCGCCCTCCACACGCGTGCGGCTGCTTGTGCGCTTCATTGTATTTACTCCCTCGCCGGGTCGCCGCCGTTACAGAGAGTGCCCCTTTGACATACCACAAGGGCAGTTTTCAATTAAAACGTACTCCTTCGAAGTGTACCACTCTGTTCGGAAATGTGGGGACCATTGGTATACAGCAGTAGAGTCCCTGTTCCGTGCCGGTTGAATAGTGCCAATGCCCGATAATAGTGCCGTATTTTCGGCGGGCACATACCGGCACCAGATAGGGACCTCTACGTGTTCACATTGTATCCGATTCAGTCGTTATTTTTTCGTTGGGTGTGCCGCATCAAACCAGGTTGGCTCGGCATTGCTACGCACATACTGCGGTACCCCCCCCCCCCCCCCCTTGTTGCGTAGAACTTCCTACAATTTCCAGCTGCAAAATACTTTTATGTTTCCAGGACTCGTGATTTTTCGCGTGAGTTGCATTCAACCGCTGGATCTTTCGCAGATCTGACGGTCTCGAGCTATGCCTCTCGTGTTTCTTTTTCGTGGCGCATGTGTCGCCTCTTCTTTCAATGGCCTTCTCTACGACAACGACTACGACTACGGCTACAATGACGTCTCTGAAGAGGAGAGCCTGAAAGTGCCGGATCTGAGCAACGACCAAGTGGGGTATCTCAACCTCACTACTCACTCCGCCAACTTCCTCGCTGATCCCATCGACCTCAAGGTGTGACAACTTACACCTTGCACCATTCTTGCTCTTGCTGCCACGTCTGTTGGTCGATGCTGCTATGCCCGATGTACAGCCCTCTCCAATGCTTTCATCATTCGTCCCTTTTCTTCGTCCTCTGTCCATGGACGCACCCACAATCGCCTGCAATAAATCCGTGTTCATGAACAGCATTTTTTTTTTTGCGAGGTTCGCAAATCCACCGCCATCGTTCCCGAGTCTCGAAAAACACCTCGGTTCTTCGTTCTAAGCTGTTTTCTCAGCGAGGTTCACCTATATTTTTTTCGACGGAGCGGCTAATTTCATATAAATATTGTAGTGATGCTTTTTCTTTAAAAAAAAGAAAATCGCTCGCGGGGAAAATGTTGAGTGGTTTTCTCCGCGAATGAGTGGTCTAACCCCGGTTGATTTCGTGTGCTTATTACCGCTGTTTGTGCGTGTGCGTGACTTGTTAAGTGGGGCGGAGCGGCTTATTTTGTAGTGGTGCTTAAACGTAAAAGAAAAAAAACGCGCGCTTCCGGAGGAAATGTTTTTGTCCGCGAATGAGTAGTCTGACCCCGATTGTTTTCCTGTGCCTGTTAACCGTTGTTTGTGCGTGTGCGTGGCTTGTTACTGTAAGTGGGGCGAAGAAGACCCGGAGCAGAGGGGCCCCGTGATGGCGACCACCCGACACCCCACACAGAGAAACGCCATCGGCGCGCATAGCGGCAGCTACTGCGTCTACAGGGTGAGATGGGTTGATTTATGGTTGCTGTTGGGGTGTGCCACTACAACGTCGGGGAGAGATGGCATGGGTAGGTGTGGGTATCATGGGGCCTGCCCTGTGCATTAGACTCTTGTTTTTCGTGATGCTTGCTTTTTCCGTCAAGGATAGCTTTGAGCACGTTGTTAGTTTTTCACGTCAAGGTGTAGACATGAGCATGTTGTTTTGTTTTTCACGTCAAGGTAGGTGTTAGCGTGCGCGTCTTTGTGTGTGTTGGATTTCCGCATCATCTGCACTTGACTCTCGCACAGGTGCGTGATCTCCACGTTGGCCCAAGCCGTAAAGTTAAAGTGAGACACACGGACGGGAGTCCTCTGTACACGCCGACGTGCCCAAAAGAAGCCTGCTCGTGGGGACCTCTCCAGAACTCTAGTCGTACGTATGCGCATGTGTGCATTGCATTAGTTCATCAGCGGGGACCTCTCGAAGTCTAGTCAGACGCTCCAAGCTGTGCACTTGAATTACCCGCGGCTGTTGTCGAAAGCGATACGGTACACAAACGTGACATGGAATGAAAGCGCCAGCCGTCTCTTGAGCCCTCGCAAGCCCTCGGGGCCATGCAGTGGCGCGCGTCCCCGATCCCCTCCCCTTGCGACCCAAACCAGACCATCCAGCAGTACAGTAGCAGCACAGCAGGGTTTGTGTGAAGCTTCGCATCTCCACACACGTCAGCGCGATAAATACTTCGGCAATGATGCGGCGGAGGGTGCTATTTTAGCTAGAAACGAATAACGGCATTTTTTTTTCTTGTGGTTGATTTGAGGTCCCAGACACACACACTCCTTCTTCCCATCGCTGTGCCATCCCTCCCTCTCCTGCATGTCTCTCGGTGGTGCCGTCCAGGCCTTGGCCGTGGCGGCTGGCAAGCTGAACACGAACTACATGCCCAAGCTGGGATCCACTCGACCGGTGTGCGAGATCGGACCCTTCGCATCGTGGTCGGACCCTTCCAAGATCGGCACCATGGATCCGAAGGGGCACCTGGTGACCGATGT